CGCTTCACCCTGAAGATCCACATGCCATTGACGATGTTCGCCCCAGGAGGGGGAAACTCGTCGACGTACGTGCCTGTGGACTTCCAGGATGCCATCTCTGTGTCTATGGCTGTCTGCCACTGAGAGGAGTACTCACCCGCTATCGCCTCAGCGTAAGAGCGCGGGGTGGGGATGTCTGGTGCATCCGGGTCTCCCTCAGGGGCAAGCAGCATGGCCACGAGATGAGGCGCAGCGGTAGGGGAAGAGGCGGTAAAAGGGGACCGACTCGTCAAAGGTGACGTCCTGAGACGCAAAGACACGGCGCGAGGTGGGGTCGTAAAACGGCCAGCCAGGCGCGTCAGGGACAAAGCCAAGGAAGACGCAAGGAATAGCGCGAGGGGAGAGTTCGTCCGCAGTGGTATCACGGACAAAGGCACGAGCACCCCAGACCCGGAAACGCGACGCGTCGCCAACCTTCCCCGTCCACAGCAGTGTGGGCGAGGTCTCCGGCAAGGAGACACGGGGCCAGAGGTTGAGCTGATGCGCGGCGTACCGGACCGCAAACGGCTACAGAAATTGGGGGGCAGCTGCATGGATCATGGAGGTACGAGCGACCTCCATGACCAAGCCAATGCGGCGCTCAGCAACCCCATTCTGCTGCGGAGAGGCCGGAAGCGTGAACGTCTGGCGGATGCTGTGCTCCGCACAGAAGGCCGCCAAGAGGTCTGAGGAGAACTCACCACCTCTGTCAGAGTGCAGACGCGGACAGGAAAGTCCGACTGGAACCGCTCGCGGAGCTGGAGACGAGCAGCGCGGATCCAGGGGATCAAAACATCAGGGACATCCCCCTTGCGCTGCAAGGGGAAGACCGTGGTGTAATGCGTGTAGTCGTCGACTACCAGCAGGAAGTACCGCTCGTGGCCCTGTCCACGGATGTGGGCTGGGCCCCATACGTCCAGGTGGAGAGTCTGCAGGGGAGCCTTTGTGGGAGGGAACGAGGAGGAGTGAGGAGCGGCGCGCTGCCGCCCCTCGACACAAGGAATGCAGGGCGGCGCAGGCGAGGGAGGGAGGACAGGCAGAGACCTGGGAAGACCAGAGACCAGGAAGCGAGAGTGCATGCTACGCAGGCGAGGCAGGGAGGGGTGACCAAGGCGGTGGTGCCACAGGAGAGTGTCGTGCGACAGCCGGCGACACTCACACTGGGTAGCTACCTGAGCAGACGTGTGCAGCTGGGGAGACAAAGGGGTGGAGCGCAACGCGGTGGTGAGGGTGTACAGACTGGACCTTGGCGCACGGGTGAACGTGGCCAGGTGGCGGCCGGTCTCGGAGCACGTGCAAATCGCCACACGCTGTCGGCCAGGGGTGAAGGTGTCAACCCCCGCATCCTGGAGGACAGCGTTGCTCACCAAGTTCGTAGAGAACGAGGGGAGGTGGAGACCAGACAGCTCACCAGACGGGACCGCCGGACACGGAAGCACGGTGGAAGACCGTGCAAGAACTGGGCCCCCAGAGGGGTCAGCCAGTGAGACAGGAGCAGGTGCAGGGAGGGGAGTGACTGTGGTACTGTCGCGAAAGAAACAGCGGGAAGCACCAGAGTCAAGTGTAAAAGTGTGCAAGGCCTGTGCAGGCACAGTACCAAGGGGAGCAGACTCACAAGCACCTAGTGCTGCAGGCGCTATACCAGGGACTATACCAGGATCCGGCGGTACACACAAGTAGCAGTCACCCTCAGCACTAACAGACAATGCATACATAGCAGCAAGAATAGCCTCATAGTCAAGATCAGAGATAGGTACATCACGCCTAAGCAGTTCTGCCCAGTTGGGGAACTCAGGAGCATCAGGAAACTTGGCGCGCCAGGCGTCGCTAAGCCGAGCGAAGCAGCGCTGCTCAGTGTGAAACCCTGTGCACTGGCGATTAGCGCGGAGACCTGTGCGAATGATATAGGGGCAGCGACCAGGACCCCCAGAAGCCCCACGCCCGGCATACCAGTCAAGAAGCTGCTGGGAAGTGGGGGTCTGGCGCTGACGCTGCTGTTGCTGCTGCTGCGGCTGTGACTGCTGCTGGCCCTGACCACCACTGCCACCACCGCTCCCTCCTCCCCCACCGCCGCTCCCTCCTCCCCCACCGCCGCTGCTACCACCTCCACCGCTCCCAGTGCCTCCGCCGCCCCCACCACCACCTCCACCACCTCCACCCCCACGACCACCCCCACTACCTCCACCTCCCCCGCCGCCTGTACCACCGCCATCTCCACTGCCACCCCCACCTCCCCTGCCACCCTTGCCGCCCCTGCCGCTGCGACGCTTCCCACTAGGAGCGGAAGCAGCCCCGACCTCCTCAGCACCAAGGTAGTCGTGAGCAGCAGCTGCGGAGGCATAGGAGGGGGTGAGAGGGGAGGGGGAGCACCCCTCAAAGAGGGGAGAGCGAGGAGTGCCATGAGCAGCACCTACAGCGAGGATGTTCTTCTCTGTTGCGAGGAGGTGCTTCTCGAAGTCGTCGACAGTGAGAGTGGGGGGGTCTAGCGCGAGGAAGTGGTCCCTGACTGAGCTAAGAGTGTCAGGGAGGCGGGTGACGAGGAAATAGAGAGTGAAGTACATCGGGGGGGGGGGGGGGGGGGGGGGGGGGGGGGGTTTGCGGCGCAGAACTCGGCTGAAAGGGCGGCACGAAAGCGAGTGTCAGTAGCGCGCATGTGGGAAATGAGGTCCTCAGCAGTGGTGAACGAGGAAAGGTCGGGGAACAGGTAGGGTAGCATGAGCCGACCTATGGCTGCAGTGGCCGGGGAGGAGTAGCGCGCAACTACAGCGTCGTACAGCTTCTTAGCAGTTTTGTGCTGGCTGAAATGCGCGCGCTCAGTAATCGGCAGATGGTTCCTAATAGCTAGGCGTGCAGCAGCATCGCGAGTCTGCCACTGCGAGCGTTCGAGAGCAGGAGCGTCGGCAGCAGGAGCAACGGTAGTGCCAGACACGTAATCGAACAGTGAAACGCCCTCTCTGGCATCGGTCAGAAGGAACAGTTGGAGATCATCTAACCACACAGCGAACTCTATGGGGCGACCGTCAGGCTCGAACGCGAGAACATTAGGCGTCGTCATAATGGCAGCAGGCAGAGGCAGGAGACAGCAGGCAGCAGACAAGAGGCAGCAGGCACCAGGCCACAAGCAAAGACAGAGGCAGCAGGCAGCAGGCAGGAGACAGCAGGCAGCAGGCAGGAGACAGGAGACAGCAGGCAGCAGGCAGGAGCGGCCGCACGCGAGCTCCAAAAGCAGCGCGCTAAGCAGCAGCGGGCCGACGCGACGCGCGGCGCAGCGGCGGGCCGCGCTGGCGACAGACGCAGCGCGCGGGGCGACGGTGGGCTGCACGCGACGGCGGGCTACGCGGGCTCTACACAGGCTGCGCGGGCTCTACGCGGGCTGCGCGGGCTCTACGCGGGCTGCGCGGGCTCTACGCGGGCTGCGCGGGCGACGCGGGCCGGCGCGCGGCGCTACAGCAGTGGCGCGCGCTAAAAACAGTGACGCGCGCGCTAGCAGTCGAGGCGCGCGCGAAAAAAAAAAAGTGACGCGCGCTGCAGCCGAGGCGCGCGCGGGCAGTAGGCAAGGCAGGCAGTTAGGTGGGCCCGATTCTTAGGTCCTAGAGACCTCCTGCTCTAGTTACCATGTAAAGAACTAAGGCAAGGATGATGAGATTAGGTCAAGGTTTGGGTACAAGACTAGAGTGTCGAGAAAGTTTATGTACCCCCTAAGGCTATCCCCAATATAGCCTAGATAATGATATGCATATGTTTTGACACTGAGCCTGAGCGTCTTCGATGTCTTCCACTGGTTTAGAGTAGGAGTCGTCGAAGTAGTGGTAGATATGCGCTATTTGTAAGAGGAGCTCCAGCTCAAAACTCCATGTATAGAAGTCATTGCCGTCAAATGCGGCAGTAGTCTTGATTTTTGAAACCCTCAGAAAGCGTGCTTGCGCAGAGTTGATAGCTTCGTCACTTGGACAGGGGGCTGTTGATGTTGATTTGTTTGTGTCGAGGGAGAAGGTGTGCGCGGCGGTATCACGGCTGTTTGTGGCCGGTTGAGCAGGTTGTGCTGGTTGCGAGGAGGTTCCCACGTCGCCTTTGCGCAATGCTTGGAGATCTTCCTCCATAGTTGTCAATCGCGAAAACAACAGCTCGAGTGCAGCTGTGCTTATCGTAGTTGCCGCCTGGTTGGTTTGACCTTTGGCCGTTAGATTGGTTCGGCCTCCGGATCCTCCGGCCATCTTGGTCTTGGAGCGTGTGCCGCTCGCCAGAACTTGGTTCGACGGATTTCACGGAAGAGAAGTTGCGAAGAATCCCTAAGTAGCTCTCATATCATGTTACAATCCCAAATGTGACTTAGCGAAGGATCGCCTCAGGGTTGATCGCATGTAGTTTGCAGCGGAAGTTATGTCCTCAGGTCAGAGTGAATGTAAATAACTGAGATTGATAATAGCATGCATACATCGAGTTCATATAGAAATACAAAGGAAAGCGAAACGACCTAGACTAGCCAGTTCTATAAGGGATACATTCCCTTATTACAGCAAATTCAAACCGTGCGGCGCGGGAACCCGTTTCAAACCTGTTCCCACTCTTTTAATTTAAAATGCGTTTGCCTTCATCGGTCTTGGTCAGACAGTTGCTAGTGTCGCTTCAACTCTTCTGACTCAACTTCGTACTCGGTAGAGTCGGCTCTTGCACCATACAAGAATCCCTTCTCATTGAATTTCATATTGTAGCATCATCATTCTGCTATGTATCTCTCTTAAAAGGTATTCCATTCTTCAGCATTGAGATAAAAACAGCACACAATGGTTATGGCACACAAATAAATTTACCTCCAACGTTCCCAGCACATGCGTTTCCGTTGTAGGTGGAAAACTTGGCAGATGCTTTCTTCTTGTCTGCATCATAGAAACTATAAGCACCGGAACACGACAACGTTGGCGAAACATTTTTGGCCCTTCCCTTATTACAGCGGCCTAGTGTGAATGGCCAATACTCCACTCTTAAGCACACCTGGGGTAGGAAGACAATTGGACACCAGAGACAAAGGGAGCAGAGCAGAGCGAACGTTAAGAGGAATCGTATCATCGTAAACCCAAGTTTTCACAGCTTATGGCGGACTTGAAGAAAATCTACCCATAACCCTCTACGGCTGCTCTTTTGTGAGAGGATGAACCACCTGATTCTCTCAAATGATTTATATTTTCATCACCTGCACGACGATGATGCTTGTCAGAATGTTAACAAATGATTCAGAATCACGCATCACGTACACCCCAATACTGCCTTTGTGAGTGTGTGTGTGTGTGTGTGTGTGTGTGTGATAGAGAGAGAGAGAGAGAGAGAGAGAGAGAGAGAGAGAGAGAGAGAGAGAGAGAGAGAGAGGCAAACAGAACCACACATCACCTGCACACCGATGTTGCTGCCAACAGCCGCGATGGAAGTCGGGATGACCTGCGAGCACACCAGCCCGGGGTTCGTGCGATACAGCATGGCCCACGTGGTCGCATTCACATCTCCCGCCAGCCCTTGCAGCATGCGCTCGCATGAGTCCTGCGCCAGCATGACCCCGTACTTGAGACACAACGGAACGGTGTACGCGTATGCAGCACTGCGCTCGATGCACACGGAGCGGCCGGGCTTGATAGGGACGGCGCAGTCCAGACCGGGGTTGAGCTCTATGAGCTTGCTGCGGGTCATTATGAGCTGATATGCCATGGAACGACACGTGTCCCCCTGGCGTGAGGGAGATACGAATGGGCGTAGGATTGAGGGTGTGGAGATTAAGAGCGGGTGTGGGGATGTGTGGGGATTCAGAATGGGTGTGGGGATTTATGATTGTTCTGGGAATTAAGAATGGGAGTGGAAATCAAGAATGTTTGTGGGGATAAAGAATGGGTGTGATCACAAATGGAATACGAATGGGCGTGGGGAGCAAGAATGGGGGTGGTGGAAAAAGTGGTCTCTTGTCCTTGCTTCTTGCTTGCTTCATGGCAAACAAAGAGATCGTCAATGAGGCAGGTCTCAGCTCTCCTTGTTGCACAGAGGGATGTCTTGGATTACGGCAATGCTTATTTGATAAAGGGCAGTGCTGAGACAGTGGGATCTACAAAAACAGTGATTTCTGAAGCAAATCCCAGAGTCTTGTTGAGACGTGGAGCAGCAGGACTCTGGCTAGAAATGAAACCTCCATGTAAGACAAGGACAAGCTTGGCAAGGACCCTTGCGGTGAAGGATAGCTTTGATTGCGACGGTTAATAAGCGACAAAGAAGCAAAAGAAAGAAAGAAAGAAAGAAAGAGCGGGCATAGAACGGGCATGCATCTATCAGTGCTCACTTGGAGGGCGTAGAAATAGGAAGTGCAGGGGATTTCAGGACTCCCACCCACAGACAGCGTTGTGTTTATCGCCAACGGCTTAGTGCAGTCCACTTGCTGGCCAGGCCAGACAGAAAGAGGAAGTGCATGCAACGGATGGGAGTAAGGCACAGAAAGTGGAGGTCTTTCTATTTACCCGAATGAATAAACGAGGCAAAAGCACTGACACTTGTCTGTATTTATTGAGAGACTTTGGTTGTATGCGTGCTGCCATTCACTCACCTCCCGCTCATGTTGCCCTCTACTCTTCACACTGTGACCAATCGGTCTCTTCTGCTCACACACTTGGCTAATTCATTGACAGGAAAGGATAAGGCAACACACATACCGGGTTTTGCTGCCTGAACTGATTGTATGATATCCCCACAATGGGATAGACATCTGAGCAGCGCCAGTTGACCCCGCTCACTGCCATTGCTGTGGCCGTGATATTTACTGGGAGAGAGGCAAGTACAAGGGGTGGGGGCAGCAGGGAGCATGCAGGGTCGTGGATTGAAGTAGGATAGGAGTATGCACACAGGATGACATGAGAAGAGAGGGAGTACGGTGCATAGTTAATTAGACAGAAGTATGCAGGGGAAGTGGGGAATGGGGTTAAATCCGCTTGGATTCAACAGTTAGCTGGTTCCTGTAGACTTGTTACAGAAATAAGGCTACTACTGATGCTCTCTTCAAGATGCAAGCTGCAACAACAGAGGTGTGAGTGGTGTGGATTGCATGGCGGGGCAGGGGCAGGGGCAGGGGCAGGGACAGGGGCAGGGGCAGGGGCAGGGGCAGGAGCAGCACCTGGGTCGCAGGTGGGGAAGTTGAGGATGGTGCGGCTGGAGATGTAGGTGGGAGGGCAGATGCAGGAGTAGGCGCCCTTGCCATCGTTGATGCATGTGCCCACCGCACATGGGTTCTTGAAGTACGACCCACACACGTCCACTGGCGGGTTGCAGCATGGGGTTGGGCAAAGATGGTCACAGGATTTAGCTAAGGACGTTACAGAGTTGAGAGCAGGGGCTCTTGAAGTATGACCCACAGACGTCCACTGGCGGGTCGCAAAGTGGGGCAGAGGGACTTCAAAGTGGGGCAGAGCGGGTTCCAGGGTTGAGCGAAGGGGGTTGCAGGGTCAAGAAAAGAAATCACAAAGTTGAAAGAAAGGGCGTTACTGAGCTGGGCAAGGTTACAGAGCTGGCGATACAGTAGGTTACAACATTGGGCAATGGCGGTATGAGAATACCTCATTGCAAGAAAACGGACTCACCGTAACCACAGCATAGGCACAGGTGTTGGAGCCAACAGCCTCACCGTAGGCACAGGTGTTGGCGCCGTATCCATTGGCGACCTCAGCGAAGGGCTGCTTGGGCTCCTCCGGGATGACGCAGTCACAGGAGTTGGAGTCGTTCTTGGGGATGGGGCGGCACGTGAAGCGCCCACACGGGTTCATCGCCGGCTGCACGTCCCCATCGCCCTTGTAGCTCCTCAGCCCACACGGGTCCTTGGGAACTGGAGTCAGGAACAAAAGAGGAGCAAGGGTGGAGAAAACAGGTGATGGGGTGGACTTAACATGTGGAAGTTTCTATTTGTGATGCTTATGTGGAAGTAGGTGGTTGATGAAAACATGGCTGGTTGATGGAAAAAGAACGGGGCTCGTGAATATGTGCGAGTCCCATGCAGACGATATGTAAGATGGATAAAACGCCAACGTCATGTTACCCTTTTTTGTGCCTGACTTGCATTAGAGGAAAAAAAAACAACTGGGCAGGCAGCACAGTGAGTGCTCCTCCAGAACGAAGGCTGGGTGGAGGGAAGAAGGCATACTCTTGACAATGGGCACGATGCCAGGTAGCACATTGATGCCACACACGCCGTCCCCTCCCTGGATGTCCATGCGCATGTGGCCCCGGTCGCCCCACTCCACTCCCCACGAGTTGCGCACGATCCAGAAGGGCGGCGCTATGCGGTTCTGGCTGCCGTCGTCGCGGAAAATGAAGTAGCCCACAACGAGTACCACGTGGTTCAAGTTGGCCGAGTAGCACTGTGGGTCCTGGTACTTGAAGGTCTGGGAAAAGAGAGGAGAGAGGGAGGGGTGAGAGGGAAGGGAGGGGAGGGAGGGGAGACAGGCCAATGTTAACCAGAATAAAATCAGGAAATCTGTGTGGACAACAATTACAAAAATAGAAGAACAAGAGCAAAATAACACAAGGGAGAAAACAACACATAACAGGATGCAAGTTGTTTTGGCAATCCGCTCTCCGCTCAGAAGAGAAGGAGCACAGAAGAGCAGCAGCGCTGGCAGGGAATCAGAGGCAAGAGAAATCAAAGCGCACCCCATCGTATTCAAGAAAGGGCTGTGTGGAGGCCTGTACGTGCACCACCACTGGCTGGGTGCCTTGTGAGTCGCCTCAAAAGTCACCTTGCAAGGAATAACTGAAAGCAGGGAGTAAGAGCAAGCAAGGGTGACTCACCCCGTCGTATTCGAGGAATGACTGTGTGGAGGCCTGGATGTGCACCACGACTGGCTGGCGCTGCACTGCCAGCATGAGCCCCATGTACCCCTTGAAGAACGTGCGCTCAAATCCCTGGATCGGGTACCGCTTCTTCTCATGTCCAGGTGGGGGCGGTGAGGAGTGAGGGCGAGAGAGAGGGAGAGAAGGGGAAATGCGTAAACAGAGGTAAATTGGTCAACAGGTAGATACACCACCATCAGAATATTAATGGGACGCAAAAGCTAGACCCAAGAGTCCCTGTTTCCCAATCATCAGTTCCGTACATCCCCTGTTTTTTAGATGAGGATGTACTCCGTTTCCTTTCTGTGTTTTTTTTTTTTTTGTTACTTAATCAGCCAGAGAATTTGAGAGGAAAAAAAAAAAGTCGGCCAAAGAATTTCTAACGAACAGGTTCAGCCAGAGTAATAGTAATAATAGTAATAATAGTAATAATAATAACAACAATAACAATAACAATAATAACGATAATAATGATAATAATAACAGATTCAGCCTGAGACTTTTCTTGTTTTTTCAGGTGGGGAATTACTACTTAGACACCTGTCTGCCGGGGTGGCGAAAAGAGCCCCCTGCAAGCGCATGAGCGAGAAGAGCGAACCCACAGGGCCTCCTGCACAGGTGGCAGGACCTGCCTCCGAGGTTTCTCAGAGACGTTTCAGAAACAGAGCCCCGCTGCACTCACCGTATCCTTGTTCGTCTGCGAGCCGCCCGTCCCTGCTAGCACAAGCCCGTCCTTAGGCAGAGCGCGCAGCTTCTCAAAGGCCTCTGTGGGCGAGCCCCCCGCAGAGCACCTGTCAGCCGCGGTGGTGAGACCCATGAGTGTGAAGAGCGAGTCCACTGAGAGGCGTGGAGCTTCCTGCCTTGTTGCTATGCCGTACGCTGCTTCTATGCTCGCCACCACTGCGTATGCCCAACACGCATCTGCAGGGCAGGGGGTTCGTTGATGGAGGTGGCTGGGGATGGGGATGTGTGCGAAAGACACTGCATCCTATGTAGTGCACTGGCACAGGCACAGGCACTACTTTTGAGACGTCTATACAAGAGGTGGTTAGGGATGAGGATGTGAGCGAAAGATGCTGCATCCTACGTAGTGCACTGGCACAGGCACTACATACGCCGCCTATGTAGTGCCTGTGCTGTGCGTGTGACAATGACAAGGTGCAGACTTGCCATGCCCACAATTCAGGCAGCAATACGAACCAGACAGAATGCTGATCATTGCAAGTTACAGCACTACAAGTTGAAACGGCTCACGTCCCATGACTCACTGCAGCAGGTGGCTTGGTCCTTGATGGGCCAGTTTTGAGGTGTCTCAAAACTCAGAGTTTGAATAGCTCGTGTCTCAAAACTCAGAGTTTGAATAGCTCGTGTCTCAAAACTCAGAGTTTGAATAGCTCGTGTCTCACCACTCAATATTGAGATGTCCCACGACGCACTACACGTGGTCTGGTCCTCACGACTCACTGCAGGTGGTCTGGTCCTTGACGGGCCAGCCGAGGAAGGGCACGGAGTCCCAGGAGTGGTAGTCGCTGAAGCGCCACGAGTCCTTCTTGTCCGCCGCCACGCGGTAGTCTGCACTCACGTAGCGCGGAAACGGGCTCGCCTGCTGCGGTGCATACGTCTCCACCGACACGTTCAGCCCGTATGCTGCGAGTGAGGGCGTGGGGAGGCGTGTGTGGGATGGAGAGGGGTGTGTGGGATGTAGAGGCGTGTGTGGGATGGAGAGGCGTGTGTGGGATGGAGAGGCGTGTGTGGGATTGAGTGGAACGGACTCGCCTGCTGCGGTGCATACGTCTCCACCGACGCGTTCAGCCCGTATGCTGCGAGGGGTGTGTGGGAGCGGAGAGGCGTGTGTTTAAAGAGGAGATGAAGCAGTGTGCATGGTTAAGGAGTAGCGCGGGAAGGGGCTCGCCCCTGCTGCGGCACGTACGACTCAACCGATACCGCCGCCAGCCCACATGCTGCGAGGGGTGTCTTTTGAGTCGACTCAAAAGTCACTGTGGCACGTAAGACTCAATCGATACTGCCGCCAGCCCATATGCTGCGAGGGGTGTGTGGGAGTGGATAGAGGCGTGTTGAAGTGGACATGAAGCAGTGTGCAAACCTTGTGGTGGTGACGAGGGAGACGGAAAGGGAGATGCCTGAGAACATATCATACGAGCAGGAAAGGGGAGAGCTTTCCGTGCCTGGGGATGTCTTGCTTGTGGGGAACGTGGAAGAATGGGTGAGTGTCCTTGCCCAGGCATGTTGTCACAAGGACAATTGATTTGTGATCGCGGCACTCAGTAGCTGAACATGCACTCTAAGCTGAAGGACTTACTGGGAACGATGTTGACTGGCTTGTGTGGCGGAGGCAGGCCTGTCAAGCACACAAGCAAGAGAAGACGTGAGTTTATCGTAACTTACGGGCATTAAGATAAGATTGTAGAAAAGAAAAAAAGGAGAAGAAAAACGGGATGGATAACTCATGCATAGACCTGCACACAATCATGGACACAACACAACAACCTACGAACCCCACCACCACCCCTCCCACCCCCACCCCCACTGCCACCACCACCACCACCAGCAGCCTCACCAGCATGCACCCAGGAGTCCAGCACCACGTGCTTCTGGAACGGCGCCACAGTGGTGGACGCCACAAACCCCACGTAGTACGCCTGCACCTGCGCCTCCTCGCCCTGCTCCACCTGCGGCGGCCCCGGCTGCAGCACCTCGCACAGCGAGAACCGCCGCTCCAGCACCGCCGCTCCCGGCTTGGCTGTGGAGTTCGCCAGAAACACCTGAATGGTGCCGGGATCCCCCGGGACATAGTCCACCCATGCTGTGTACTCCTTCCTGTCGTTCAGCACAAACGGCGCCTTGGCTGTCGCAACTGACACGTCCCTACCTTGCACGTTCAGCCCTATGTGCTGATAGTCCGGGTCTCCGTTCTTGGGGTCCTGAAACGTGTCAAACTCTATCGCCATGCTTCGACTCTCCATGCCTCCGTACCCCACACCACCGCTGCTGCTGTTCCCCAGACGGTTTTTAACAGAGATGACAAACGCAAAGCCGTTTGCGCCGGCTTTGCCAGGCTTGGGCGAGAGGGAGAAGGTGAAGTTGACGTTGAATGCGAGCTCTGTCCCACACCCTGGGTCTTCCCGGCCTTGCTCGTAGAGGAAGAGCATGACCGGGTCTTCAGTGAACTTGCCTGCTGTTTCCTTCCGTGTTCCCTTGGTAAGTTCGGTCTGTGGAGGAACGATGGTGTTGGTGAATGAGTAGCCCTCGTCTTGCTCTGCGTAGAGTTGGGCGAGCAAGGGGTGGGTTTGGGGAAGCACGAGAAGTAGCAACGGGGAACACGAGAAGTGCACTGAGGAACACGAGAAATGAAATAGGAACGAGTTCTGAGTACAGGGTCTGTGATGCGACCCAGAACCCAGAACGGTGCCCACGAAGCAGGAGGAGAACCTTGAAAATACACTTTGTTAGGCTGCGATATAGTGAGGAGAAGTTGTACATAGCCCGGAGCTGGTACACGAGACACCATAATCGCACAGTGCGTTATGTGCATGAGGTGGCACTTTCTACACAGTGCGAGAGTGAGACAACAGCTCAGCCCAGCACAGGGAATGCAGTGAGTGAACAAACAATACATCAGCAAGAGCACAAGTCAATCAGGGCCACAAGAACCTTGCACCTACTCAATCCTTTTCCAACAAGCCTTACACATGAAGAGGCCCCACATGAACGCCGCGCAGCCGAGGCACTACATACATCATTAGGGCCCCACATGAACGACCTGCAGCCTTCCTTGAGGGTCATCATTACCTTCAGGAACGCACGTCAAGCCATCAACAACTTTAAACCCTTTGTCACACGCACATGCTGGCCGCAAGATAGCGCCAGTAGGGTACTTTTGAGGCGCCTCAAAAGCCTGCAGGCTTGCTCGGGGTTTTTTTTACCTTCAGGAACGCACGTCAAGCCATCAACAACTTTAAACCCCTGGTCGCACGCACACGCCGGCCGCAAGCTAGCACCTGTAGGGTAGCACACCCCGTGACCCGCACAGGCAGCGGAGGTTCCCGAGATGCCACAGAACGAATTGCAGACAGACTCCGGACGCATCTGTGAAAGACAGGCGCCTGTCACTGCGATGCAGTTCGCATCGTAGTTGGTAGACGAGCACTCGCGGATAGGGCCGGAGAGGTAGTTGAAGGATAGGTCTGCATATGCCTGCTTTGGCTTCAGCCCGGCTCCTGTGAGGTAGTTGTGTGAGAGGTCCCTGCGGTGGTGGGAGGGGAAGGGGCGGGCCGTGGGGGGTACGGGAGGAGTGGGGGCGGTGTGAGGAGCAGTTTAATGGGGGAAAAGGAGAGGAGGTGTGAAATGGATGGAGGGAGAAGAGGGGGGCGGAAAAAAGGGGAGAGGAGGTGCTTGTTTCTAGCGCTGCACTGGGGTTGTGTATGATGTTTGTTTGTATCACGTTTGAGCTCAAAAGGAGAAGTCACGTATTGGTGACTGCACTGGGGGGTTATGTATGACTTTGGGGGAAGTGGGGGATGTTTTATCGTAGAAGACAAAGAGTTTTGTGAGACAGGTAAATGCCTCTCAGGGATGCATTCAATCTAAAAAAAACTCAAGAACGTACAAGGTAAAAAGTTTTGTGAGACTGGTCAGTGCCTCAGATCAGAGATGCTTCCATTATTAAGAATTCTAAAAAACGTACATATTAAATAGCTTTGTGAGACTGGTCAGTGCCTCGGGGATGCTTCCATACAGCTGGTTGTGAGCGAATGACCTAGTGGGTGGGTGTTGAATCAACAGCGCATGCACGGAGAGAGTTTAAAAACAGGAAGGGGATGAACAATAAAGGAGAAACCGATTTAGAGACAACGAAGGGGATTGACACGGGGAATGAGCCGTGCTTAATCTCTTGATTGATGATGGGTTCGGTGTACGTCACGTGGTGGAATCGAAACTGAGGCCAAAGGCTTGCCTGCATGCACTGCTCTGATCTGAGCACTCCCAAGCCCTCAAAGCAAACTCCCAAGCCCTCAAAGCAAACTCCCAAGCCCTCAAAGCAAACTCCCAAGCCCTCAAAGCAAATCACAAGCCCTCAAAGCAAAATCCCAAGCCCTGACAGCAAATCACAAGCCCTCAAAGCAAACTCACAAGCCCTCAAGCAAACTGAGTGAGCCAACGGAGGAAGGGATGGTTCCTGTGAATTTGTTGTAGCTCAAATCTCTGGAGCAGGAGCGTGCAAGATGGAGGGAGGGACAAGAATTGGGAATGACTGAATGAGCTTGTGGAGTGCAATATATGATGTAGACAGATTTGTTTGATTGAGAGAGAGAGGATGGGATGTGATGACAGGAGATATAGGTAGAAGGGGAGAGCTGTTGTTGCTGGTACAATGCACCTTATCTGTGCTTGCTGGGTTCTATTCAACACGGTGGGTGTTCAGAGGATTTGTCCAGCTTTAATGGAAAACAAAATTTGATTCTGGCTGTGACGGGAGGCATCTCAAGTCCCAGTCTCAATCTCCTTGTTATCGAAACAACTTTCCTTTCTTTATAAGCACTAGATAGACAGAGTTCTAAGTTCCATCCTGTAACCCATAGTGGTGAGCAGAAATGAACAGGGAAGGGTAAGGAGCTGTACAGCATCTGACATACAGTTCCCTTCCCTCCGTCTCCTCATCCTTTTTAGCTTTTGAAATCAACAAAACTTCCGAACGACGACGGTCTTTCGCACGTATCCATCCATCCTTTCTCATCCCGATGTACGAACGAGGGTGAAATGAAGGGCCGGCCAACTCGCTTGCTGCACTTGACTTGACTCTGACAGGTCACAGCACTGCAAGCGGAAACTATCTCTCTCTTGGGTGCCTTTTCATTCAGAGGAGAGTTCCAGAGGTCCTCAAGAGCAGGGGAACAGAGCAGGTCACAGCACTGTAAGAGGAACTTCTCTCTCTTGGGTGCCTTTTTTATTCAGAGGACCAGAGGTCCTCGAGTGCGGGGTAGCAGCGCAGAGCACCGTAGGAAAAATAGCCTCACTCAGAAGCATGTTGAAGTTAAAGTGTGAGCCAGTCAAGGCGTACAGAATGATAAGAATGGGGAAGGAGGTAAGCCAGTCGGGGATAGTTCCAGAGAACTGGTTGGAAACCAAATCTCTGGAGGATGAGGGTGGGTGGGATGGTAGTGCGAACAGAGGGTTGGAACGACTTTTAAGGCGCCTCAAGAATGAGAAGAATATTGAATGCGAGACGGGGTGGCACAAGATGAAAACAAGGGGTGCCGAAAAAAGGAGGAGCGAGAGGCAAGCAATGACGCGTGAAAGGAGAGGGGGGAAAGCGAATGCTGCCACGGGCACTCAAAGATAGAGCCAGTTGGTAAGCAGAGTATGCGATCCAGTCAGGTGACTATGAGACTGAGAAAGCACTCACAAATACTGCAGGTTGGTAAGACTCTGCAATGCATAGGGAATAGGCCCTGTGAGGCTGTTCCATTTGAGTGCCCTGCACAAACTCGAGTGCACGCATTGAAACCATGGTGTGAGGAAGCATGGTTTGAGGAGGCATGGTGTGAGGAAACATGGTGTGAGGAAACTTGGTGTGAGGAAACATGGTGTGATGAAACACGGTGTGAGGAAGCATGGTGTGAGGAAACACGGTGTGAGGAAGCATGGTGTGAGGAACTAAGCTGTGACATGCTGTTGCTGATTGGGTGTAGGTAAAATGGGAGCACAATGCAGTAGACTATGGAGAAGCAGATTCAAGGAGAAACAATGGAGTCTTATCAGGAACGAACACAGAACAAGGGTCGTGGTGTGTCGTAGAGTGTATCACGAGTATGTCGGGTAATGGAATTGAGTGGAGTGTTAACAGATGAGCAGAGGGCTAACAGGTCCATGGCACTCACAAGCAGCATAGCTGGCTTCAATGTGCCAATGAATTTTGAGGCGCCTCAAGAGGGGTGACTGGTTGACGGCACTCACAAGTAACATAGCTGGCTCAACTTGCCAATGGACGAAGGGATGGGTCCTGTTAGACTGTTGTAGCTCAGATCCCTGAAGCATGGGAGTGTAGGAGAGAGAATGGGGACGAGAAAGGGAAGATGAGGAGCTGAAACGCAGTGGTGTGGATGCTTAGGGGTTGAGTAAAAAGAGGACCAGGGGTGGAGGCAATTGGAGTCTGCAAGGGGTTTGAATGAGATCATGAGATCGTGCAACTCTATGGGATTTATTCTGGACGTGCCTGAAAAACTGGCTTTATCGCGGTCTACAGTACAAGAAGAAACACCAAAGAATGCATGTATGGGCCTTACAGAAAATTAATGTATGAGAGGGAAGAGAAATCAGGAATCGTTCCAGAGAGAAGGTTGTTGCCTAAGTACCTGAAGGGTGGTTGTGGGTGGATGGTTGGTTGGAGGGCGAAGGGGACACATGGGAGACAGAGAGGAAGGTAAGTAAGGTTCGCTACGAGCAGGATGGTTTAAACGCCTCATGATCATTGGACGAGGAAGGAAAGGAGACTCGTGGGAAGCCAAGGCTGGTTGAGAGTTGGAGCAGGCACGAGGAGGAGACTGGAGCAGGCACTAGGCGACTGGAGCAGGCACTAGGCGACTGGAGCAGGCACTAGGCGACTGGAGCAGGCACTAGGCGACTAAAGGGAAATGGTTATCGGAAGCGAGATGGAGAGGAGCGATGCGGATATGAGAGGGAGAAGAGATGCGAGGAGAGGAGAGGAGATATGCATGTGCTCACCTATTTCACCTGTGAGTTACAGAGTATACAACCTTGTTCTATTCACGAACCGAACCTTCAGCTGGCCGTTAAAAAGGTTATTCTCAGTTCATAAGCAGATGTGTGTAGTTAGCACAACTGATGAAGGGAAACTGGACGAGAGGTGACTGGATGAGGGGTGACTGGATGAGGGGTGACTGGATGAGAGGTGACTGGATGAGGGGTGACTGGATGAGGGGTGACTGGATGAGGGGTGACTGGATGAGGGGTGACTGGATGAGGGGTGACTGGATGAGGGGTGACTGGATGAGGGGTGACTGGATGAGGGGTGACTGGATGAGGGGTGACTGGATGAGGGGTGACTGGATGAGGGGTGACTGGATGAGGGGTGACTGGATGAGGGGTGACTGGATGAGGGGTGACTGGATGAGGGGTGACTGGATGAGGGGTGACTGGATGAGGGGTGACTGGATGCAGTGAATGGTTCGAGATGGCACTGGAGGCCATGCACTGGACATCTTTAGGAGCCTCAAAAGCCGTCTCTTGTCTCAAGGTGATGATAAGAATGGACAGTGAACACGGTTGTTGTTGATGATGGAAAGGTATTCTCTTAGTGACGGGGTAGATGCCTTACTAAAAACACAACGCACGCACGCACGCACGCACGCACGCACACACACACACACACACACACACACCGACGCCGACAACAAAGTGTATCATTACATTAGGTCCATATTGGTGAGGGTAGTGAAGAGATCGGGAATAGTTCCAGAAAGACGGTTGTTTTCCAGGTACCTGAAGGATGATCGTGGTTTGAAATGGAACAGTGAACTCTTCAGCAGGATTAATCCAGAAACAGAGGAGTGTAATTGAGCCAATGAATGGGAACAGGGGATCTGAGGAGAGAAAAGAGGAGGCAAATAATGAGATGAAAGCCGTGGTAAGGAGAGGAGAAGTGGGTGAGTGAGTGAGTGAGTGAGTGAGTGAGTGAGTGAGTGAGTGAGTGATTAAGTGAAGGTGCTCACAGCACTCTCAGCTCAGTTAGCAAGCCAATGGAGGTCGGAATCGGTCCTAGGAGCCTGTTCTTTTGGAATTGCCTGAAGGGTGATGGATGGAGGCAGGGTGATGACATAAGGTGGGAGGGCGACTGAGGGAGTAAGGAAGCAGCACTGGACGGTTGGAAGAACATTGCAAGTGAGGGATGAGGAGAACCGAACAAGGGGTATGCTTGTATAACCTTTTGAAGGGTCTCAACCTTTCAAATGATGGAAAACGAACAACTTTGCAAAGAAAGAAAGAAAGAAAGAAAGAAAGAAAGAAAGAAAGAAAGAAAGAAAGAAAGAAAGAAAGAAAGAAAGAAAGAAAGAAAGAAGGAAAGAAAGAAAAGAAAGAAAGAAATGCAATGCGTGATTCATACGTACAGGTTATATAACTTGGTGAGCGGCGCGAATATGTCAGGAATTGTTCCAGAGAGTTGGTTGTGGCTTAAGTAACTGGAGGGTGGAAAATATATGATGGACAGGGTCGTATGATATGAAGGAAATGTCTTGTCATGACATGAATGAGGCTGTGAGAACAGAACTGTAAAAGAACAGCTTCACTGGTGGGGCAACGCAACACAGTCAAAAGTCAAAATCCGAGCCCAACAAATGAAGCTAGGTAGTAGGGAACATGTGCATCCGGGTTTAGTCATGAGCAGCACTTGTGTTAACGGGAATGGCATGGCAGCAGCTGCAGTCTATGAATTAACAGCAGAGCAAACTCCAACTTTACGTGTAATAAACAACAGCATGTACGGGACTGAAATGTTATGACATGCCATGGGGTGCCATGAAATGCCATGAACTGCCATGTATGCCTGAAGTGCCTTGAAATGCCACGAAGTGCCATGGGATGCCATGTTAGGCCATGAAATGCCATGCAATGCCATGGGATGCTCACACAATATGATGGATGATATGATGGATGGTATGATGGATGCCAGACTGCTTGATCGCACTCACAGGTAACGCAGTTCGCTTAACCGGCTAAGGGATGCAGGAACGGGACCTGTTAGGCTGTTGCGCTGGAGATTCCTGCAACATGCGGGACGCAGGGTATGGTGTTGTAATAGTAGGGAAGAAAGGAGAACGAGGACTGAGAGAAGTAGTGTTGCGAAAGTGACGAGGAGTCATGGTGATATGCAATCGCAACAAACAGGGTTGCAGGTTTTCTTGCAACAGGCCAATTATTATATTAATATTGCTGCTATTATTATGACTATTGTTATTACTAATATTATTGTTGTTGTTATTGCTATGTCATTATCGTTGTTTGTTGTTATTAACATTAAAATTATTGACGACGACAACGACGAAGATGATGATGATGATGATGATGATGATGATGATGATGATGATGATGATGATGATGATGGTGGTGGTGGTGGTGGTGGTGGTGGTGGTGGTGGTGGTGGTGGTGGTGGTGGTGGTGGTGGTGGTGGTGGTGGTGGTGGTGGTGGTGGTGGTGGTGGTGGTGGTGGTGGTGGTGGTGGTGGTGGTGGTGGTGGTGGTGGTGGTGGTGGTGGTGGTGGTGGTGGTGGTGGTGGTGGTGGTGGTGGTGGTGGTGGTGGTGGTGGTGGTGGTGGTGGTGGTGGTGGTGGTGGTGGTGGTGGTGGTGGTGGTGGTGGTGGTGGTGGTGGTGCAGGTGTTGTTGTTGTTGATGATGATGGTGATGATGATGATGATGATGATGATGATGATGATGATGATGATGATGATGATGATGATGATGATGATGATGATGATGATGATGATGATGATGATGATGATGATGATGATGATGATGATGATGATGATGATGATGATGATGATGATGATGATGATGATGAAGAAGATGACGATGATAACAGTACTAACAACAACATTAGCAGCAGCAGCAGCAGCAGCAGCAGCAGCAGCAACAATCATAATAATACAATAGCCAATCACACACAAGGAATGTAAGAACTGACAAGATAACCAGCTTGGTTAGGCCAGAAACGTCGAATACTCCTCCTGTGAACTGGTTGTCATCCAGGTACCTGAGGGATAACAAAGGGTACAAGGTGAACGGTCTAATGATGGTTGGGAAGAAGACAGACTGCCGTGGAGGAGAGGGTGAGAGATAGAAGACAAAAGAGGAAGCACAAGCAGAAATGTGAAGAACGTAGGAGAGGCTCCACAAAACGAAGTTCCCTCACTTCAAGAGTTCAGTTTTCGCATCAGGTGCGTGCATACATCCGTTGAGGCGCCACATAAGTGGTGCATAGAGTAGATTCAACTCACACACAGAGTCAAAGAAGAACAGCAATCCCAACAATACCGTCTCAATCAAGCATATAACCTCGAATGATTGAAGTTGGGGTAAGGTCAGGATGGACAGTGAACTAAATCATAACCACAGAATCGTATGACGAACGTCATTCAAATGCTCCAGCATCAAACCATTATCCCTTCTCATCTTCCCATCCTCCCCTCTAAATAAGAGAGCTAGAAATAAGTGATGCCAGCCACCAAGTGCTGAAGATTCTAGTCCATCCACGAGTGCTGCCCACAAATGTGCACCGTGCGACTTTCACGCACCAAACAACCAACCAACCAACCAGCCAACTAACCAACCAACCAACCAACTAACCAGCCATGAATTGACGGCAATGCATACATGCAAATAGTGACTGTTCAGGCAGTGGAGTGGAGCCACGTGTGGACTGACTTTTACCAGCCACGTCTCTCAAAAGTGACACAAGGATCCAACCCCCTCGGTCATTCCATCAGATACCCAATGCCATGCAAGATACCATACGACTCCCTCCCTCCCACCTCGTCTGCCACCCCTTACGGTAGCCTCATCTCTCTCCACCTCCTTTGGATAGACTTTCCAGAATTACGCCAGAAAACACAGCACTCTCCTCCTGGGCTGGGCCCTCAACCAGCCACTTCAATTTGAAGACTCTATTATTGCCGTGCGCAGTGGAAGGTGGCTCGTGCGCAGTGGAAGGTGGCTCGTGTGCAGTGGAAGGTGGCTCGTGCGCAGTGGAAGGTGGCTCGTGCGCAGTGGAAGGTGGCTCGTGCGCAGTGGAAGGTGGCTCGTGCGCAGTGGAAGGTGGCTCGTGCGCAGTGGAAGGTGGCTTGTGCGCAGTGGAAGGTGGCTTGTGCGCAGTGGAAGGTGGCTTGTGCGCAGTGGAAGGTGGCTTGTGCGCAGTGGAAGGTGGCTTGTGCGCAGTGGAAGGTGGCTTGTGCGCAGTGGAAGGTGGCTTGTGCGCAGTGGAAGGTGGCTTGTGCGCAGTGGAAGGTGGCTTGTGCGCAGTGGAAGGTGGCTTGTGCGCACACATCATTGCTGCTGCAGCAGTGGTACTGCTAATGCTAAGTATGCACTGGCGAGGCAGCACCGCAGAGATGAGCGCACACTGTGGTGCGGCACGCACGCACACACAGGCGAGCTTGGCGTGGGCGTCCAGCATAGGCTTGCTGCCTACCTCTGCTCTCCTTTGCTCTAGCCTTGGCTTCGATATACTGAAACAAAAGACACTCACTCCCACCCACGCGCACGGTGTGGAACACTAACGTCTTTGCTGCACGGCCAGCAGCAACCCCTCTGCTGCACGGTCTGCAGTTGGCTCGACCAGGGTGAACTGATCTGATATCGTGCCGGCCTGGCATCAATGAGTGAGCCCTGCAAGTAACAGCCAGAGTCGGCTCGCCTCACAGTTGACTTTTGAGTTGACTCAAAGGTCAACTCGCCCCGGGCATCGATAAGCCGCGCAAGTGAGAGTCGCAGCCGGCCTGGCTTGCAGCGGCAGCAGCGTGTGCGTGTTCACACAGCGAGATGCGCGAAGCGGCTTGCATCCCATCCCAGCGGGTTCGCGCATTTGACTTGCAGCGAACCTAAACACAGAAACGAATGCTCCGATTTCAATGACTGGTACAACGACCGAGCATGCGCAGAGCTATGCTGAGCCGGAGCTGAGCCATGACTCATACTTCTTCTCTGGTTCTAAATCATCTGAATCAGGAGAAGAATTTGAGACAGGAAGGACGATGAGAAACGGAACGGATGGCACGGATAGCTTGCTTGCTTGCAACTCACAGATACTGTAGGTCTGTGAAGTCTTTGAATGCTGGTAAGAAGGATCCATAGAGCTGGTTCCTTGTAAGTACCCTGCGAAGAGCGAGAGATCATCATCAGTGGAAATAAGAGATCGTGAATTAGTGAAAACAGGAGATCGTGAATCAGTGGAAACAAGAGGCCGAGCATCGATGGAAACAAGAGAGCATCAATGGAAACAAGCAATGTCACGTCCTTGAGGTTGAGTACAAAATGTGGAAATATATATCGTCAGTAGTGCTGCTGGTTAACTGAAATCCATTCAATGCTAAAGCGTGTTGCTACAGCGGCTGTTGGGGTATTCTAGGCCCAGAATTGATGGCTCGGTTGCTGCAGAAATCGTGGCAAAACGAGACACTCGGCATGAATGTGTGCATGGCAGCACACTCACCCATCCACAGGGAGATACGGCGGTTCAGCAAGCCCGCTCATTCTCCTGTGTGAGCCACAGTAGATAATACTAACGTGAGGAGCTCACACTCGTGCAATGACACCACGTGAGGAACTACTGTAAGTTAGAAAATAAAAATCCAATGAAGTATGTGCGTGATGTGACTGACTGACGGAACTGACTGACATGGTGGTGAGGCGGGTGAGCAAGCCCATAGACGGAGGGATGAACCCCACCAGCCTGTTGTCTTCGAGATGCCTGAGGAATGATGGAGAGAGGGGGAGTGATGAGGTGGGAGGGGGCAGTTCATGCGACGGGGAAGAATGATGAGGGAGCTTATTCACTGCGGGATAATAAAACCCATCCAGGTTCCAACCGACCTGCTTGCTTGCAGTTAAGTGGATAATGATAGGGATGGAGGGTCATAGTGAGGGTGGGGTGGGGAATGAGGGGAGGGGGGATACGGAAGCAACGGAAGCAGACAGTTGGGGTTGAGAGATAAACACTGGAAGCAACGGGTAGAAGTAAAAACTGGAAGCGTATTGGAGCAAACGAGTTACATCCATCATCGGTAGAAACAAGGAGAGAGGTGGTGAGGGAAGGGCGGTGTGATGGGCAAGGATGGCGGAGGGGCGAGGTCAGGCAGGCGGGGTGTGGTGTGTGTGGGAGGAGGCGAAGTACCAAAGTGACTTTTGAGTCGACTCATAAGTCACCTCGTTTTGAGTCGACGCAAAAGGGTGGTGTGATGGGCAAGGATGGCGGAGGGGCGAGCTCAGGCAGGCGGGGTGTGTTGTGTGGGGGAGGAGGGGAGTGCCACTCTTGAGGAATCGTGTTTTGGGTCGACTCAAAACACGAGGTCAGCCGAGTGTGTTGTGTGTGGGGAGGAGTGTCACTCTTGAGAATCATTATAAGGGCGTGTAAAAGCCCCGAACATAAGCGAGATCTGCTTTTGGCTGGTTATTCGTCAACCACGGTCGAATTTTCTTTTAATAAAGCCGACGGATTGGTCGACAACTTGTCGACAGATTTGCGGCCGAGATTTGAAGTTTTGCGAAATTGCCAGCTTTGGTGGCCGATTTGCAGGCCGTTGTATCGAAGTTGTCAGATTTGCAGTCGCACAAATGGCTAGAAACGGTGTCGTAAATTTGATGCCAGTATTTGATGCGGTGTGGGGATCACACGTTCTGTCGCGATGAGCAGTGTGCGGCATCGCATGTATCTGTCGCACTGACAAGTCGGCTACGTGGCCGGATGGAGTTGACCCCGCATCGTTTCGGTGTCGTCTCGGTAAAACGGCCATCTAATTCGCATTTTTTTTGCGAAATTGACGACGTTCGTTTATTTATCAACGAACGTCGTTAGCTGGTTACTTTCGCCAAAAACGGCCCGACGGATTTTGCAGATTTAAGATGTTTGGCGACTTTACACGCCCTAATGGGAGAGCTGGGGATGGAGAAGAGAATATGGGGATGTGATGTGACTGATGGTCGTTCGAAAGTCAGCAGGGTTGCATTGCATTGCGTTGCATTGCAGCCACAAAACAGTACAATATTTCACTTCGCTCTCACAATATGGACAGCATGGTGAGGGAGGAAAAAATGTCCGGAATTGTTCCTGAGAATTGGTTGTTATTTAGGTACCTGAAGCGCGATGGGACGATGTAGGGATGGCACGTAATAAGGATGGGATAAGAAGGATGGGACGAGATAAGGATGGGACGAGATAAGGAAGGGATGAGATACGGATGGGACGAGATAAGGATGGGATGAGGATCGGCGCAAGAGAAGGCTGCAAGGGGTTTGACCGAACGGAGGTGAGGTGAGAAGACACACCGGATGCATATGCAACAGATTGAAAGGCAGACCCAATCTAAATGGAGTGGAGAGATGCGAATGAGGCAGTTGATGGAGACAACCACAGGAGAATAACGAAGAGGAGAGGAAAGGAGAGGAAGGGAGAGGAAGGGAGAGAAGCGGGGTGGACAGGAGAGGCGGTGAGGAGAGTCAAAGGGAAAACAGAGAACAGGGAAAGAACAAGCAAAGGAGAGAGAACAGGGCAAAAGACCGAGAGAGGGGAGAACCGATGAAATGAGTGGCGGGGCGCAGGGAGGGAATTTCTGGAAAAAGACGCGGCCACGAAAGGAGAAGTGAGGAGAAGACTGAATACGAGAGAAGTGAAGAAACTTTGTAAGGAAGTCGAGAATATGGCTAAGCACAAGAGAAGCGTGCTGCATTGCATCTGCTCAAGAGCACGAGTGATTGGACTGAGCAGATGAGAAGTAATGAGCTGATGAGAGAAGAGGCGAGAGCTGGAGAGAAGTAATGCGCAGATGAGAAGCAATGAGCAGATGAAAAGTAATGAGCTGACGAGAGAAGTGGGGAGCAAGAAAAAATGCACGCATGCCCACACACACTCACAGCTCCTGTAGATATGACAGTGCTCCAAGTCCCGACGGAATAGACCCCCTGATGCCGGTGTACTGTAGGGACCTGAGGAGAAGGAAACAAGAACAAAGGCCCAGGAGGGATGACAACAACAACACTGGAAAAACAAACTGCAGCTCACGAATGCAAGAGGGATGGGAGGGCAGTCGCACAGCGGAAGGAAAAGAGCTAGGGAGGAACAGAAGGGATGAACAGAAGCAGGAAGCACAAATAAAAGGCAAAAAGGGTTCCTGCCAGCTGCGCAGAAAGGCGTCGAAACAGGTACGGTGCATTGGCTTAACCTTGGGCACAGCACTCAACAGTACACACACACTTGTGCGTTGACGACTTTTGAGACGTCTCAAAGGCCAAATGCGCAGAAAGACGTCGGAAGTGGTACGGTGTGCATTGGCTTGGACTAGACTTGGCCACAGCACTCAAAGCAGTACACACTTGTGCAGCGGTTGCACACGTTTTATGCCTGCAGTGCAATAGCTTGGGCTGGTAGAATGGTATAGCACGTGGCTGGCAAGATGGAGCACGTGGACGGCCCCAGTGGCCGGCCATGCATTGTTGCATGCATGCACGCACGCATGCATGCATGCATGCACGAATCTCCCTGCACCGCAGCCTGTCGTGAACCTCTGGCGCGGGCCTATGCATTGCGTTGCAGAGACTTTTGAGACGTCTCAAAAGCCGCAGCCATCACGAACCCCTTGCACGGCCCTATGCATTGCATTGCAGCGCACTGTGTCACGCTGATGTAGCGACCAGTTTTTGTGCTAATAATTGCGATTGACGTATCAAACAGTGGGTAGTGGGATGATGGAGAGCAGAGACGAAGATAAAGCGGGCAATAGCAGGGGTTTGAAAAACGAGTGTGGGCACTTGGGAAGGGTGCACAGTGAACCTACAGGGAAGTAAGATGCCAGAGGTTGCTGATTGAGTTCGGAAGAGGGCCAAAAAGGCGCTCGCTTTCTGCGAACCTGTTTCATCATCATCATCATCATCATCATCATCATCATCATCATCATCATCATCATCATCATCATCATCATCATCATCATCATCATCATCATCATCATCATCATCATCATCATCATCATCATCATCATCATCAACAACAACAACAACAACAACAACAACAACAACAACAACAACACCTGCTGTGAGTACCATCACAACTAAGGACCATCTTCCCTCCATCCCCATCACCAATACAACCGAACCACCCTGGCATCCCCATCGTCTCATGGTGTCACCAACATCTTGCATCATCCCCCCTGTGCAGGAAACTCTACTCTACCAGGAGCTCGGAATGGGGGGGAGAGTGGGAGTGAGATTGCGCGTGGAAGTGGGGTTGGGAGTAGGAGTAGGAGTGGGATGGGAACGGGAGCACCGAGTGTGGGTAGGGTTGGGGTTGAGATTAAGAGTGGGAGTGGGAGTGGGAGTGATAGCGGGAGTAGCAGTGGGATGGGAGTGGGAGTGAGTGAGTAGGGAGTGGGATGGAAGCGGGGAAGGGAGGGAGTAGGAGCAGCAGCAGGAGCAGCAGTCACGTAGAGGTCTCACATGCTGGAGATCATGCCGTTGCCTCCTCGGCACTCCACCAGCTCTGTCGCCAGGCAGTCCGGGACCTCGGGGTCCCACCCATTGAAGCTCCGGCTCCATGCCTGCTCGCAGTCCCTCAAGAATTGCACTGCGCATTCACAGCAGAGCACAGCGAAGCAGCAGTGGAGAGCAGTGCAGGCGGTGGGGTGCGGTGGAGAAGGGTTATGTCTTGAAGCGAGCTCACTGTTCTTGGCTTGGGTTGGGCACTGGGCATGTAATGTAATCTTTATAATATTATCAAGGCCTGTCTTTATCGTGGCTGCACGGCACATCGGATGGCATCACACAGCACCGCATGGTACACACTGCACTGCACGATGGCACCGCACCGCACCGCATGACACCGCCCTAGACCGCGCTAAACCGCACTCAACCGCACCACACCTCGCTAGACCTGACTATACCGCCCTCTACCGTACTACACCGCACTAGACTGCGCGGCACGTGACGATCAGGCATACCCAGTCTGGTGTGGAACGGAATGGCCAGTGGTAGTACCTTGCGAGGGTTCTAAAGGCTCGGCATTCGCCAGTTTGGGGAAGAATGCGGGCGGTGGTAGCGGCAGCGTTGCGCTGAGAGCGGCGAGCAGCAACACTGCCGCGACTCTCCGGACTACTCCTCGTTCTCGTAAGCCGCGCGTCGCCCATGATGATGCGCGGGATGATCCTGCGGCCGCCGAGACGGTACCATCGTCTTGCTCTGGCAGTCGTCGCCGCACCTGCCTAGTACTAATAGTAGTACCGCTGTTACTAGTACTACTAGGAGTAGCGGTATTAATAGTAGTACTACTCGCAGCCGCAGTAACAGTAACAGGAATCGGCGGAGATGCCGCGCCGCGGGAGAGCGACCGCATCAGGCGGCGCATCTCGCGCTCCTTCTTGAAGAGCGCTCCGGGAAGGCGAAAAAGCAACTGTTTCACGGAAGAACTTATTGAAGAGCGCGGCTCGCGAAAGCTGAAAGAAAGAGCTACTATGGCGATGCCGCGGCGGCGGTCGCGGCGAATCTGGCTGAGATTTTGTTTATAGCAGTGCCACGTACCACCTCGTTGTTTTGTTACGAAAGAAACTAATGACACCTCCAATGAATAGGCTTTTTGCTATTGCTAGAGCTGGACTCTAAATGTGTCCAACGCCTGACTCTAGCTCGCAGATAGTTGTAGTTCGGTAGCCACGAATAAACCCTCGAATAGGTTTCCGTACCAGAACCGAGGGCCGCACCGCACCGACCTGCCACAGCCGATTCCCCTCACACTGGAAAGGAGCCACCACCAGACCACATAATCCATGTTTGGGGGCGGCTATCTGCGGCGGTGACAGGACAGAACTGTACCGTACGGTGTCAGACGCGACTCGTAGACGCCAAAGTGGTTGTTGTGATTCGTGAAAAGGCGCATTTCTTGGCTGTGCGCATCGACCTGATCTCGGCATCTCTGACTCACCACCAGCCACTAGACTAGACAACTGGTGGTGGGGAGCACAGCAGAGTACACTCACACACACACACTGAGTGAGAGCAGCAGGAGGACTAACGTGACTGGCGCCCCTTATCTTGAGGCTCGTGTGAAACGCGGCTGAGAAGCACGCGATGTAAAATATAAACTGCTCGCGGATTCGTCTCGTCGTCCCTCGTTCATGAGTGGCACAAGCTAGCAACTTGCTGACTGCTGCTGAAGCCTTTTGCGACTGGTGGTGGTGCCATGCCATCGCGCTGAAACGGAAATGTGTGGTTGGTTGGGGGGGAGGGGGGGCTTTGGATTGCGAGGAGGGAAGGAAAGGATGCAGCAGCAGCCGGCTCACCCGAGGCGGCTTTCTCTGTGCATGTAAGGACGCGGTAAAAGTGCAAATATCGCAGGATCGTCTGCACATATCGATCCCCGCAATCGATTGGGCAGATCGATTGGCGAAACGTGGCGATCGCGACGTTGTAACGATCGCCACTGAAATTTGATAGATCTCCCGCGATTTGTGATCAGTCGCATTCACAAACTGTCCAAAAAATTGGGCCAAAAAGCGAACTGTAGCATAGTTACAAAAAGAGTAAATAGGGTAACCGACCCGCACATTAATCGCGACTGACGATCGATCGTCTACTTTTACCGCGTCCTAAGCACCATGCCCACACGCGTCACAAAAATAGTACTGTACGGTACATGTTCTGTAACGCACAACCAGCAATAAGCTGAAGTGTCTTTATGTTACGGGTGCAATGAATCGAAGTAGCGAGAATTGCACTAAGGTGTCAAACGAGTACAAAATGTGAGCGAAGGCATGAGCGAACATTTATACGCGAAACATGCAAACGGTAACGCGGTGCGTGCGAGCTAGCTAGTGCTACGCTGGAAGCAAGGCTCGGGCTAATCCCGAAACGTAGGCCGACACAGCCGGTCCAGCAGCGCGAGGTTTGGTAAAACAGTGCGCGCGAAGTCGGCGAAGCCCCGTTAGCAGTAACGCGCGAACAACGGCTGCTGCTGTACGCGGTGTTGCAGGGTGCGCTAAAAAATATTGAGAAAATTCCTTACACTACCCCCCCCCCCCCCTCAAGAAGCCCTCTCCGCTACGCGAGTGCGTGTATATCGCGGAAACCCCGGCTCCTCAGGTACACTTGCAGGGCAGGGTGGTTTTCGATGTTGGCCAGGGGCACCCAGCTATCTTCAATTGGCGTGCGATCCTTCCAGCGAACGAGGAATTCAATCCTCTTGGTTCCCGTGGGGTGTCGAATCCGATGGCTGAGGATTTTTTCGGGCTCGATGATCGGCTCCGATGCATGGCGAGTCGTGGATGATGGGTGGTGACGAGTGTCAGAATGTTATTATTGTCTAGCCTGCAGTGGGGTACTCTATAGCGAGTACAACCCAATTAGGGTTTCCTATTTGTACCAACCTGCTTGCTAGTGCAACCCCTCCTTTCTTCATTCTTGTTTCTGACTGCTAGTTCTGACATGCTATCAGAGCAGGTCGACCCTCCTAGGTCGATCCTGTGGGTGGGCCCCACCCGTTGCTTCCGCTGCTCTACTGCTGTCGCGCGCCCTGGGCACGCGACCCTTTCTTCCTGCCGCGCACTCGGAGCGCGCGGCGTTTTTCATCCCGCCGTGCGCTCGGGGCGTGCGGCGCTTTTCTGCCCGCCGTGCGCCCCGAGGCGCGCGGCGGTTTCCTGCTTCGCGCGGCGGTTTTTTGCCCGCCATGCGCTCGGGACGCGTGGCGGTTTCCTGCCCGCCGCGCACCCTGGGCGCACGCGGCGGTTTCGCGTTCCGTCGACCCGCGCGCCCGTCCCTGTCGACCTGCGCGCGGCTCCCCGTCGCCCTTCGCGGCGGCCCCGTCGACCCGCGCGCGGCTCCCCGTCGCCCTTCGCGGCGGCCCCGTCGACCCGCGCGCCGCCCTCGACGACCCGTGCGCCCGTCCCCGTCGACCCGCGTGTCGCCCTGCGGCCCCCCTCCCCGCACACCTGAGTTTGCTTACTGTACACCCGAGTTCGCTTCCCCCACGCTTGTGCTCGCTTCGCGCACACCTGAACTCGCTTACCGCACACCCAGGGTATGGGGGTGGCGGTTGTGAGGGTGCCGGTTGTGTGCGCCGTCCCCTACTTCTCCTCCTCCTCCGTCTCCCACTGCTGCAGCTGCCGCTGAGGGGGGTGGGTGTGTGGGAGCCGAAAGAGTGGTGCTAGGGGGGTGACGTGGGAATGGAGCTAGGGGTACAGCAAGGGGTGTGTGAAAGAGGGGTGTCGTACAGTTGGGGGAGGTTGCGTGGAGGCTGCCGTCGTGTCGCCTGCAGCGCCAGTAGTCCGGAGCCTGTCTTGCTCTCGGTAGCCCAGCGAGCCTGCTGTGCCTGTCGCCCGTGGGTCCGTTGCTCCAGCCGCTCGTCGTAGCCGCGGAGCCAGTTACTCCTGTAGTCCGGAGCCTGTCTTGCTCTCGGTAGCCACTGTGCCAGCCGCTCCTGTTGCCCGTGTGTCTGCAGCTTCAGCCGTTGCCTCCCATCTCCTCTCTTCTCATAGTCCAGCCTCCTCCTCCTCACGTGCCCATTGTGAATGCCTCTAGCTGTGCTTGCTCTGCTGATTATACCCCACTTTGACTATGGGGGTGTGTCAGAATGTTATTATTGTCTAGCCTGCAGTGGGGTACTCTATAGCGAGTACAACCCAATTAGGGTTTCCTATTTGTACCAACCTGCTTGCTAGTGCAACCCCTCCTTTCTTCATTCTTGTTTCTGACTGCTAGTTCTGACAACGAGGCAGTTGGCTTGTGGTTGGGACGTATGGGCGAATCAGGCTGACGTGGAATGAAGGGCTGATGTACCAGTCCGTCGGCAACAGTAAGCGGGCTGTCACTGGGGTAATCATGTGGCTGATTTGGAATGGTCCACAGTAGCGGGGTCGTAATTTTGGTACGACGGGCAGTCTTAAGTTTTGTGTGTCGAGCAGTACGTAGTCTCCTGACTAGTACATGACTGGGCGGCGGCGGCGGTCAGCGTTGCGCTTAGCGAGGACAGTGGCTTTTTTAATTGCTTCTGCTGCTCTGGTGCGGGCAGCTTGCAGAATTTCGGCGAATTGCTGTGCACGTGGTGTTGGGTTGTCCGAACTCGGCGTCATAGGCACTGTAGGGTTTTGCCCGTAGTTCAGGTAGAAGGGGGACTGCTGCGTCATCGCTGATGTGGCGTTGTTGTACGCGAGCTCGATCAGCGGCAGCTGCTGCTCCCAAGTGGTAGGGTCGTCGCACGTGGCACGAATCAACTGCTCCATCGTCTGATTCGTTCGCTCCGTTTGACCGTCGGTCTCGGGGTGGTACGACGAGCTGAACTGTAGCCTGGTCCCGAACTGCTCCCAGAGGTTTTTCCAGAAGTTGCTGGTGAACTTCGTGTCGCGGTCGCTGATTATCGCGGCTGGTATCCCGTGCAGTCGAACGATCGGTTGCGATGAACAGGCGAGCCGTTTCTTCGGCTGAGATCGATTTCTTGCACGCAGCGAAGTGTGCCATCTTCGTCAACCTGTCAACGACGACCATAACTGCGTCGTTACCCCTAGGGTTCGAAGGTAACCCCGTGACGAAATCCATGGTAACCTGCTGCCAGGCGTGCCCAGGCGGTGGAATCGGCTGCAA